ACGTATTGAATGGAGCACTGGGTGTTATATGCAAACAATGAATCATGGAACACTACATCAAAAACTAATGATGTAAGGTATGGTGATTAACATAAAAAAAAAGAATGAAGCTTTAGATTTAACTTGCATTTTCTCTAAGTTTTCCCCTTTTTTGAGGTATAATTTACACACAGTAGAACATAGTTCTTAAGTGAATAGTTTGAGGAATTGTGACAAATATGTGTGTGTGTGTGTGTATATCCATGATACCATCACCCAATTCAAGATACAGGACACTTTCATTACACCAGAATGTTGCCTCATGCTCCTTTTATAGATAATTCATGCCCCCATTCTGTTAGCACCATGTATTAGATTTATATGTTCTTGAACTTCATAAAAACAGAATAACACGGTATGTACTTTTGTGTCTACCTTCCTTCACACACAATGTTTCTGAGATTCATTCATGTCGTTATCAATAGTTTTCATTGCTGAGTAGCATTCCATTGTACGGACAGACCATAATTTACTTAACCATCATCCTGCTGATGGGCATTTGGACTATTTCTAGTTTTTGACTATTTTGAATAAGGTGTTATGAACATTCATCTGTAAGTCTCTTTATGAACACGTGCTTTGTCCCTAGGAATGGAATTGCTGGATGGATGATATAGTAGATACAGGTTTACTTTTATTAGAAACTGACAAATAGTCTTCTAAAGTGGCTGTATTATTTCTGCACTGCCATCAGCAATATTTGAGTTCTAGTGTTCCCCCATCCTTGTTAATACTTGGTATTGTTAGTCTTTTTAATTTCAGCCATTTCCAAGTACTGGAGTTGGAGAGACCACAGAAGTCATTCTAGTTCAATCTCTCATCTCTCACAATCCCTTCCATAACATTCCTTCAGATGGCAAATGAGCTACTCACTCCTTTAGTACTTTCAATGATGGGAAACTAATTCTCAACTACTATGACTTTTCATAATTACTAGATAACTTGTCTTACTAGAAGTTCTTTTCTACATTAAGTTAAATATGTATTTTAAACTTTGATCTACTGGTTTTCTTTGGAGCAAAAGAGATCCATATTCTTGGCAATATTTAAGAGCAACTCTTACGTTTTTGAGTTTAAACACCTTCAGCTCCTTCACTCATCTTTCTTATCAGATGGTTTCTAGATTTCCTTTCACCCTCACGGCCCTTGGCTAAATATACTTTAGTTTAAAAGCTCCATTAAAGAAATTATTGAGTGCCTAGAATAACAACAGAGTCTCAATTTGGTCTGAGAAAAAGTACATTCCATCTATTGCTACATTTGCTTTTGACACTATTACTTCTACTCTACTCTAAGATCATGTTAGCTTCTTAAGCAATCACATCACAATTTCTACAGTGTCCAGGTCATGAAAAGCAGTTAAGTGAATGTTTGCAGTTAAATGCCAGCTTCTGCTAGCCAACTGTTTAGCAAGAGTTGCCAACTGACTCAGTGTTGCCTACACCTTCTGCCTGTATTCCCTGTCTCTATCTACTTGCCAAATCCAGACACTCCTGAGCTTGAGTGCTCTGGTAACTGCAACCTCACCTCAGCTAACCTCCTCTATACATATGACCTCTAGTCAGCCTGCCATTCTTTTTTTTTTTTTTTTTTAAAGATTTTATTTATTTATTTGAGAGAGAGAGAGAGCACAAGAGGGGGGAGCGGGAGAGGGAGAAGCAGACTCCCTGCTGAGCAGGGAGCCCAATGCGGGACTCGATCCTGGGACTCCAGGATCATGACCTGAGCCGAAGGCAGTTGCTTAACCAACTGAGCCACCCAGGCGCCCCAGCCTGCCATTCTTATTTATTGAACATAAGGTCTTAGGAAAACACAGTTCAGTTGTCTGTAGGTCCCAATGCAGTCTGTCTCATGTTTCACTTTTATCCATAATAATATTCCAAATGTTCTGCTGAATTCAAGATTCAGTTTTACAATAAGAAAAGCATTACTGCTACAAATGTAAAATGTTGCAACCACCGCCTTATACATTTAAAAAGGCTTAGGGGCTACTCAGAGAGTATCTAATCCTTGAAGTTGTTTCTGTGGGAAAATAATCCTGTTGTAGCACATGCCGAAAAGAAAGCATGGAGGCATTGGGAACAGATATCTTTGCCATGACGGCTGCTGCTAGAATGAGGGAAAGCATTAAAAGGGGCAGAATGGTGCAGAGTAAGAGAAGCCTAAAAAATGTGGTCAAATATATGTGCAGAGACTGGGGGACAAAAGGAAATAGATGTGGATAACATCCTCCTGCCTACTCTGAAGGAGAATATGTATCTTCTATTTTCATCCAACAGGGAGCAAAATAAGTTTGTTTTTGGTCCTGGGAAGCTGCTTGTTAAACAAGAGCCGCCCAGCATATTGGAAGAAGTGCAGCTTACCAAATGAGCCTGCTGCAACCCAAAGTATAACTGGGAAGATCTTGCAAATGTAACTGGTGGTTTTCATAATATATGAATCACTAAAAATTGCTTTCTGGTATTTTCAAGGATTTTGAAACTTCACCGTTAGCCACAAATTATAGAATCATTTAAGGTGCTATTCACAAGATGACAGTGCTATTTTATATTTAAAATCTTAAGGTATTTAAAAAATCTCAAAGCAGTCAAATGTTGACCTATCACTCATCTACATCTTAGAATGATTATATGTATTCCTTCTATATCCACCAAGCACTAAAAACACAAAGTAAACAGGTATATGATGTATTTCAAGTGATTTTATATAATTCTAAGAAAAACAGAAGAGAACTAACCTTGACCAGAAGCTCAGTTACTTCATAATGACCATAAGAACAGGCATTGTGTAAGGGCACCAGATCACTACAATATGAGGGCGGGGGGATGAAAGAAGCTTGTGTTATTACAGTTAGTTCATTTAATTTAAATTAAATTCACACTTAGATTTAAATAGCAAATGGCTTTTGTGATCTTTAATAGAAATGCACAAAATTTAACATCCATCTGAACACTAAGTTCCAATAATTCTAACTTCCAAGTCTCTTTCACATCCATCTTTTTTTTCTCCAAGGCTACCACCACGCCTTTAATATTTCTTCCTGTACTACTCAAACAGCCCCTATTTCAATTTCTTTTTCAAATTGTAGCCAGATTTTTCTAAAAGTAAATCTGATGTAGCTACTCCTTTTTTTTTTTTTTTTAAGGGGGGAGACAGAGACAGCGGGTTGGGGGGCAGAGAAAGAATCTCAAGCAGGTTCCACACCCAGTGTGGAGCACCATGTGGGGCTTGATCCCATGACTGTGAGCCAAAATCAGGAGTCGGACACTTAACCGACTGAGCCACCCAGGCACCCCTGATGTAGTTACTCCTTGTTTTAATGTCTCATTGGTTCTTCCTTGCTTTTGAAAACTGTTTCCAACTGCTTAGCCTGGCATGCAATGGTCTAACACTCTGGAGCCTTACCCTTTAGTGATGGTATGCTCAACCACATGTAGTTCCCTCTATGCCTCTGGGCATACTGTCCCCTTGGTGTAGAACAGATTTCCTCCCTCCTGGCTTACTCCTACAATCCTTTCCAAACTCAGAGCTCGAACACTGGCTCTTCTTTGAAACTTTTTTTCAGATTCTATAGGGTAAATTAATAAACTAAACCCAATTCCTTCATGATGGCCATGGAGAAAGAACTTTCTATATAGGAAGGTACAGTGGAACCTTAAAATCCTGACTTGTATCTTTAAGCTGCTCTTACTTGGGGAATCACTCACTAATTACCACAGACACTGCTATGATGGCCTCTGGTGAGTAATGGCCACTGACAGTGTAGTCATTAATTCTACCTGTCCTCTCTTTAAAGGTTTACGGCTTTCCTCACCACTTTTTTTTTTTAATTTATTTTATTTTTTACTCTTTTAATATTTTACTTATTTATGAGAGAGAAAGAAAAAGAGAGTGAGCACAAGCAGGGGGGAACAACAGGCAGAGGGAGAAGCAGGCTCCCTGCTAGGCAAGGAACCCAATGTGATTTCTGGATTTCTGGTATTGGATTGAGTCCCAGGACCCCGGGATCATGACGTGAGCCGAAGGCAGACGCTTAACCGCGTGAGCCACCTACACGTCCCAGATTTATTTATTTTAGAGAGAGAGAGAAAGAGCACTCAAGCATGCTCCCCACTGAGTGTGGAGCCCAATGCGGGGCTCAATCTCACAACCCCAAGATCATGACCTCAGTGGAAATCAAGAGTCAGATGCTCACCGATTGAGCCACCCAGGCACCCCTCACCATTTTTTATTGTATGATTTCTAACCTGAGCACTAATTTCATTCCCCAACTATCTACTGGCTACCTCTACTTGAGTTTCCTGAGTTCTGGTTCCAAAATAATTCCTCCAAAATAATTTTCCCTCCTGGATTTTAGTATGTGTATCACTGGTATCAGTCACTCAGCTTCAGAATTTGAAATGTAGTTATCTTTTTATTCCTCTCTCCTCACATCCAGACAGTCAACAAATCCTACCCATTCTTACACTATAGTATCTCTTGCACCTGTGTCTTTATTTCCATTCCTCTGCAACATTATTATAGATCCTCATTATGCCTGAACCCTTACAATGATTACGCTCACTGCTCTCTGACCTCTGGTCCTTCTCTCCAAACTACCCTACACATTGCTGCCAGAATGTGTCCCCTAAAACTCCTCTTTTAGAAAAAATCTTTCCCCTTGCTTAAGATCTTTCAACGGCTACTGTGGCTCACAGTGTGAATTCCTTAGACTGGAATATCAAGTCCTCTAAAACCTGGGTCGTACCTACTTCTCCAACCCTAGCCTTCATCTCTCCCCTATGTAAATCCATCTGCTTCAGCCACACTGGTCTAGTCATTGTTTCTTAAATATGCTGTAATATCTGCTTTAGCACATCCTCTCACACAAGTTTTCTTGCACAATGATGTTCCCTAAACTCTCTGCTTTCTTGAGCTGAGTCCAGGTTGAGTATCACCTCCTCCTGAAGGATTTTCTTTTTTTTTTTTTTTTAAAGATTTTATTTATTTATTTGAGAGAGAGAATGAGATAGAGCATGAGAGTGGGGAGGGTCAGAGGGAGAAGCAGACTCCCTGCTGAGCAGGGAGCCAGATGCGGGACTCGATCCTGGGACTCCAGGATCATGACCTGAGCCGAAGGCAGTCGCTTAACCAACTGAGCCACCCAGGCGCCCCCTCCTGAAGGATTTTCTATCCAGGACAGCTATCACTGAGAGTTCCCTCCTGGGAACTCCTACAGTACTATCTCTATTATCACCTCACACTTAGTAGAGAACTTATATTGTTAGGTATCTAGTCATGCTTCCTAAAGTGTAGTGTAAGCCCTCTAAGTGGTGGCTTTAAGGTTTTATAATTCCTGTGTCCTCAGAGCAATCTGCATATTGTAAAAGCTCAATAATGTTTACACTATTTAGCAAGAAGATTTTTATATGGTTACAGAGATTATAATAAAGACAGTAACATTTAAGAAATCCTCGTTTTTTCCCAATGCTTACTTACCCTTTATCTTTAGCATGGACATCAGCTCCATGTTGTAGTAACAGCTGTACAATTTTTACTCTGTTGTATCCTGCTGCCAAATGCAATGGAGTTGACTGAAATATTAATCAGACAAATGAATGAAATTACAATAATAGCTAAAAAAATGTGTGAAAAGGTAAAAAACCAAATATAATACCAGAATTCCAGAAAAAAACTTACCATCTTCATAGTTCTCATTTTGGGTTTACAAAATCCAACATATTTACCAAAGGCATAGTATAAGTTTGTAAGTTCATTATTGTAAGTAGGAAGCAAACAACTAAATGTTTATCAGTAAAGTTTTACTAAGTTTAAGAATTAATCCAAATTACTGCTTAAAAGAAAGTATCAGCATTCTCATCAAATGTTTTAATTTTTAGTAAGATAAATGCATTTTCATGTTACCAGGAGGAAGAACAACAGCTTAGCTGTCAAAGGAACTACCTTTCTGCCATCACTTGCGTGGCAGTTGACATTTAAGGGTGTCAGCAGAGCCATCATTTTTTCTTCATTGCCACTCCTAGCACACAAAAAAACGTATTAGCAATTTGTATTCATCAGATCCTGTTTGCAGACATGTATGTGAGCAAACAAAAATTCATTCTCTTTTAAAGTTTATTATTTAAAAAAATTAATGATGAAGTTATCCACGATACATATTTATAACACCAGTACACACCTGGCACTTTCCAAAAGTTCATCTTTCTTATATTCACCTGTGAATTAGGGGGAAAAAATTAAAAAAAATTAATCACAAAAGTAATAACAACTTAATGCATAAAGATCCTCATGAACTACATTCAAAGTAGATAAATTTGGAAATAAATTTCCAATAAATACAAAATGATTAATTAACACAATATTGTGCAATTTAAAAAATATTTATATGAAGAACATGGAATACATTTGTTATGAAAGTAAAAAAAAAAAAAAATCCAATATTACATAATGAAGCTATTTGAAAACAATATGCACCAAAAAAGGAAAGCCAAGAAGAAAATACACCAAAATTTCAACAAAGTTTGTCTTAGGTGGTAGGTTACTGAGAGCTTTTCCTTTTCTTTTTACTGCTCAAATTTCCTAAAACCAATGTTATTTGTGCAACGGACAAAATGCACCCACAACTTCATTCAAAAGTAACACAAAACAAAATCCAATATGCCAACATTATAGAGATAACAAAAGATAATCTTATGGCATTACCAACTGGACATAATCCTTAATATTTTTATGAATGCAGATTTTCCAACACTAAAATTATATTATAGTGCTACTTTAAATATATACACATAAGAACAGGATTAAATGTAAATTCTTTATGCCCATAGCTTGGCTTCCATATTTACAAATGCATACAAACAAAACTTTAAAATGAATACAACTTAAATTAACATAATTTAATGTCACGGACAGTGTTTATTGATTTGCTGAAATAAAATCCAAACTGCTGTCCACAATACAAATATATACAGATTGCTAATGCAAGGATTCTTTGAGCCCCAAGATTTTTTAAAAAGAGAAAAGCAGGGAATAAAATGGTATAGTGAAGGGGGAAATGAACACAGAAGTGATAGGTTCAATAACAGCTCACTTTTATAGAACGTCTTTGGGGACTGGTCTAAATTTTCCTGGTAATACCAGAAGAAATATCACAAAGTCCAAGCACAAGAGCTCATAGCAGAACCCCTCAGGCTCTTGACTATTAGATCAGACATGATTCTAACGGTGATCACACAGATAAGAATCCAGAAAACAATATGGCAGAGAGCTTTTTAAGAGGAACACTCTGATGAGGAAGAAACATGTGAAGGGGATACTACCATTCAAAAAAGCTTGACAGTCTAAAATGAACCTGAGACTAAGCCTTATACATGTTAATAGGTTCCAAAGACATGAATATGTTACGAGAGAACATTAACTGACATGCTTCAAGGTACTGAAACTGGTATGACCAGAATCCACTGTTTAGAAAAGATAACGGTTAGAGCTTTTTGAAAGGGTTTCATTAAAAAAAAAAAAAGAAGATTAAAACACATTAAAAAAATAGTATATAAAGGGGGTAAAACATGTTATCTGGAAAACTCAGGGACATTTATTTTTTTTTTAGATTTTAAAATATTTTACTTTTTAAAACTGACAGTCTATATAAAACCTTATCATAAAACCATATACATTACAAAAAATTTTTATCAGAACTGCAATGCTTAGAAAAGTAGCATTTTTAGGCAGTTCTAGCTTGGAAATATCAATTCTCTGATTTCAAAAGGAGATGTTTCATAAACCTACTCACTGGGCACATTAATTTCTGAGATTTCAAATATTTTAAGCTACTTTCCTTTTTTTTTTAATCACCAGGTGCTCATCACAAGTACACTCCTTAATCCTCATCACCTATTTCACCCATCTTCCCACCCACCTCCCTGTTAACCATCAGTTTTGTTCTCTATAGTTAAGAGTCTATTTCTTGGTTTCTCTTTTTTCCCTCTTTGCTTGTTTTGTTTGTTTCTTAAATTCCTCACAAGAGTGAAATCATATGGCACTTGTCTTTCTCTAACTGACTTATTTCACTTAGCATATACTCTCTAGCTCTATCCATGTTGTTGCAAATGGCAAGAATTCATCGTTTTATGTCTGAGTAATATTCCATTGTGTATATATACCACATCTTTTTTACCCATTTATCTATGGATAGATACTTGGGCTGCTTCTGTATCTCGGCTATTGTAAATAATGCTGCTTTTATAAACATCAGGGTGCATATATCCCTTTGAATGAGTGTTTTTGTATCCTTTGGGTAAATACCCAGTAGCGCAATTCCTGGATCGTCGGGTAGTTCTATTTTTAACTTCCTGAGGAACCTCCATACTGTTTTCCATAGTGGCTGCACCAGTTTGCATTCCCACCAACAGTGCACAAGGGTTCCTTTTTCTTTACATCCCCACCAACACCTGTTGTTTCTCGTGTCGATTTTAGCCATTCTGTCAGGTGTAAGGGGATAGCTCATTGTAGTTTTGATTTGCATTTCCCTCATGATAAGTGATGTTGAGCATCTTTTTTTGAGAGAGAGAGAGAGAACGCACGTGCGCACAGGAGTGGGGTGGGGAGGAGCAGAGGGAAAGGCAGAGAGAGAATCCATGCTGGGCATGGAGTCTGATGCAGGGCTCGATCTCATGACCCTGAGATCATGACCTGAGCTGAAATCAAGAGTTGGAGGCTAAATGACTGAGCCATCCAGGTGCCCCAATGTTGAGCATCTTTTCATGTGTCTGTTGGCCATCTATATGTCTTTTGGGAGAAATATCTGTGCATGTCTTCGGCCCATTTTTTAATCGGATTATTTGTTTTTTGGGTGTTGATTTTTCTAAGGTCTATATTTTGGATACCAATCCTTTATTAGAGATGTCATTTACAAATATCTTCTCCCATTCTGTAGGGTGCCTTTTAGTTTGTTGACTGTTTCCTTCTCTGTGCAAAAGCTTTTTATTTTGATGTAGTCCCAATTGTTTATTTTTGCTCGGAAAAGTCAGGACATTTAAAGAACATCCTGAAGACATGGCAGTAACACACAATAATCTATTACCCCTGACCAAAATAAGGCAGGAAGCACAAATCTAAACACCAATTTAAAAAGAAAAAAGAGAAGTTTTACTTTTCTTAGACAAGAATCAAGTGCCAATTGTCCAGATGTAGAAAAGAGTAACAACTGAATTGATAGTATTTTGAAGATCTAGTTAAGTCATTAACTACAGGAAGCAGACCGTCTACCTAGCAAGCTCAATTCTTTATATTCTTCCTAGAATACCCAATGAGTACATAGACTTACCGGTCAGCACTGCTTTGGCAGACGGGTCTGCTAAATCTAATGCTGTCCTTCCATCTGTATTCCGGATGGTTGGCTCAGCTCCATGCTGTAAGAGCACTGCAACAGAGCAACACTACCTTTCAAAATGGTAATCATGACAATCTGATTTTAGTAAATCATCTTCTCAAAAATTCTGGTCCAGAAGTCTTTGAGTTATTTAAAGACCTTTCATATCCTGATAGCATGCTAAATGTTATATTTTAAAGATAAGATTGTATAAAATATTGCATTATTTAATGTACAAGACACGTTAAATAAATGTCCCCTAAGCTCAATGTCAGGTTTCCTTTGCTTTGTGACTAAGGAGATAAAAGTATGTAAGGAAATAAAAGGCTAGTTTGCTTGAAAGCTTGTTCTCTCATTCCAAATGAACGACTGTCTATGTTAGACTGTCCTATCATAACAAAAATGGAATTTCTAAAGCTACGGATAGCCCAGGAATAGGGATGTATAGAATTAAAAAAGAAAAATAAAATCACACAGGTAAATTCTTCAAAAAAGAAAAAAATACTCTCTGTAGGCTTAACAAACCCCAAATCAAAACCGTTACATTACATCCTAGAGCACATAAAAAAAGACTTGTGCTATTTTCTGTATTGTTATTTGTTATATAAGGATATTCTAGCACACTCTATAAATAAGGTACTGGGGAAAGACAGGCAAATAACATGCAGAAAGGGGAGCCTACCTCCTGTTCTTTGACAGGGTTATATTCATTCCACTCTACTACTACCTGTAATAGTGCTGGCTGATAGAAATAAAATGTGAGCCATATATGTAATTTAAAATTTTCTAGTAGCCACATTAAAAAAAATAAAAAGTACAGGTTAAGTTATTCTAAACACGTTTTACTTAGCCCAATATACCCAAAGTACCATCATTTCAGTATTTTACTTATATTGTAATCAATATAAAATTGAGATTTTTGCATTCCTTTTTTTTTTTTTCCCCAAAGTAAATCTCTGAAATCTGGTTTGTAAAAAGTACATCTCAATTCAAATTAGCCATATTACAAGTCCTCAGCTACCATATTGGACAGTGAAGACCTATAACTATATTTGGAAAACCCTACATTATTATTAAAGCTGATTATTTACATGCCTGAGACTCAGGAACTAGAAAAGGACTATGAGCAGAGGGAGTAGCAACTTAGATAACACACAGGAAAGGAGAATTGGGCAGAGGTTACTAGGTAATGTGTATCTTTATAAATGACCTAACTTGAACTAACTTGACCACTATAAATAGTGATTTGGGGCATTGGGATGAGGGGAGAACAGTTAAGTCCAGCTTAGAGCACCTGGACTTTTCCTAATGCACACAGTTGGTTTTCTATCAGTCTCCAGGATTTCAACTGCCCCTGTTTTGCATCAGGAAATAGAGCTAAGGTAAGCAGAGTCCTGCTTACTACCAGTCCCTGACTGGTAGGCTCAGAAAAGTCAACACCAGATTAATGAAAACTCTCAAATAAGCAACCTTTTCAATGATAATTTTGTCAGTGATCAACCTGTCAGGAAATTCTCTATCATTTGTTAAAGCATTCTAAATGACTGATAATTTGTCCTTAGCCCTACTTCATGCCCTCATCATTTCTCATCTGGGTTATTCTACAGCTTCCTAGCTGGTCTCTCTGATGCCATCTATTCAACCTAGCCCCCTATCAGATCATTCTTCTGAAAATATGCTACTCTCATCAGACTGTTTCCTTAGAAGTCTTCAGTGATTCCATACTACCTACATAAAAATATCAAGCACCCTAACCTGGAATTCAAAGCTCTTTTAAAGAAGTCTACCTACCTTTTCAATCTTTCTCCCACTACTTCCTGGAAAGACTCCAGGAGGAAGCAACTTGACTCCAACCAAGTCACTGTAATCAGTTCCCTCTAACACTCCTGTTCACGTCCACCATGACTTTACCTGGTTCTTCATGTGTCTTACTCTCTCAGAAGAAATCTAAATTTCTAGAGAACAGGAATTTTGTATTCTCTTCTTTAAAGAACTTAAGCTTAGTACCATATAAAAACAGACACTCGGTAAATAATGGTTAGATTAAATCACAAAGTGTTCTTTAGTATTTAAATTCAGCCTGGCAGAATTTGATCATATTAACAAATGAATTCAATTTAGACTTAGAATAGTTACAAACTGTTTCAGGAAAATTCAGGAAAGTAAATAGTCTTACCGATGCAAACATCAATCTTTCCTTTAATTGCAGCTTCATGGAGGGGGGTATAATTCCAATTATCACGAGCATTTGGGTCTGCACCATGTCGCAAAAGGAGACTGACTACTTCAGCATGACCAAAAGAACATGCATTATGAAGAGGAATAAGCCCACCATCATCACGTGCTTGGACATTTGCACCATTCTGAAGCAAATATTCAACTACATCTTTCCGCCCAAAACCTAGAAGAAAGCAAATTATCCACATTTAAGTTCGCCAAAGAAAATATATTAATTAGTGTCGCTAAGTACTAGCCATGCTAAAATGTCTTTGGATGAAGAATAACAAAAGATTCAACAATTCAAAAAATAACTGATGAAAAGAGGATCTGGAATATATCACTAATCTTAACGAAAAAGCCAAGGGTCTCTCTAACAGTTTAAGTAATACAGCTGATCCTTGAACAACATGGGTCTGAAATGCATGGGTCCACTTATAAGCAGATTTTTTACAGTTCTGTAAATGTATTTTCTCTTCGTTACTATTGTAAGAATACAGTATACAGTAAATATAATATACAAAATTTGTATTACTTGACTGTTTATATTATCAGTAAGGCTTCTATGGTCAACAATAGGCTGTTAGTGGTTAAATTTTGGGAGAGTCGAAAGTTATATGCAGATTTCTGACTGCACAGGGGGTCAACACCCCAACCTTCATGTTGTTCAAGGGTCAACTGTACTACCAGCTTCAGAGAATGGTTATGAAATAGGTGGCCGAAAGCCCAACATTCAAATGTTTTCCACTCTAGAATAGCATTTCTAATTGCAAATATGGAGTTCTGCATATTTGGAGTGCATACATTTTCAGATGTGCTAAGTAACATTTGCTACAGAATCCCTTTCCCACATCTATCTCATAAAATGGTTGCACTAAATTGGGGGACTATGAGATAGCAACAAAAGAAATCTGCTTACAGTTTATATTTGTCTATGCAGTGGAAGATAAAAGTGATCCTAGGCAAAGGTGTGACGTCAGGTGTCTTCAAAGGAGCCCCTACTTTGTCACATGCACAACACAAGCAACTTCTTTCTAGGTAGGAGGCCTCCTTTAGAAAACCATGTCCCACAGTTCTGCTGTAACTGCCCCCATATCTAACAAAATGAAAAAGTCCTACAACTCATTTATAATGGTTTACGGATTTAGTACCAATGAATTTCAATCTCCTACCATTCTCATTCTCACATAACAGCACTTAAAACCTTTTTACAGCTAAAAAAATGAAATGAAAAGAATTTCAGGCATATGTTAAAGCAGATGGGGAGGTATACCTTTGTGCTGGGAGAGACAGAAGACCCTTCTCACTCATCTAAAGTTTTACCCCAATATTCTTAAAACCACCAAGGCTGAATACTAGTTCTTCTAAGACCACAGTGGGAGCTGAATGAGAAAGCAGCGGTAGAATGCTTTTAAGGTGTATGCCCGGGGCTGGCCTAGTTGCAGCTGATGGAAGAATTAGATGGCTGCAAAGATTAACTGGATTCTATGTTTTCTTTTAATATTTCTAGGCTCCATGTCACAAAAATGAGTATCTTTGTATCTCTGATTCTCCTTATTCTCAAAGAATTCACAATTTAAGACAGGGAGAAACAAGAAGAGCCAAGAATTTCAATACAATATGACTGCCATAATAGAGGTATATATAAAACGTTACTAGAGTCCAAAGAAGGGAATACCCAAATTGGGGGAAAGCAGAGACTAAGAAGGACTACCCAAGGAGATTCCAGCAATGACATCTGAGCTGAAGGCTTACAGAAGAATTAAGGGGTCATTAGGAGAATAGGGAGAGGAAAAATGAGGGGAAGGATCGGAATAAGGGAAGAGCACAAGCAGAAGAGACAAAATGTACACAAGCATGGAACATGAAAGAGCAAATCATTCCTAATAGGATACAGAATGCCAATTAGGCAGATGCCAGATGAGGAAGAACCTTTTATATGTCATGCTAAGGTAGCATCTGGATTTTGTCTATGGAATAGTGAATAGTGTTTTTTAACACTGTTTTCAGGCAGCAGATTTTAACAGAATCATTTTCTGTCCTTAAAAAAAATCTGAGATATAATTGACATAAAACATATTAGTTTCAGGCATACAATATAATAATTCAATATTTATATATGTTGTCAAATGATCACAGTAAGTCTAGTTAACATCCATCACCACATGTAGTTATATATTTTTTTCCTATGATGAGAATTTTTAGATCTACTCTCTTAGCAACTTTGTTACAACACAGTATTGTTAACTATAGTCACCATGCTGTACATTACGTCTCTAGGCCTTATTTATTTGGAACTTTGTATCTTTGGACCACCTTTACCCATGCACCGTCCCCATCCCCTACTTCTGGCAACCACCAATCTGTTCTATCCATGAGTTTGGGTTTTTGTTTTGTTTTATAAGATTCCACATATAAGTGAAATCATACAATATTTCTTTCTTTTAGTTAGCATTATGTGCTCAAGGTCAATCCATGTCACAAATGGCAGTATTTCACTCTTGTGGTTTAAATAATATTCCATTATAAATATATACATATACCACATTTCCTTCATCCATTCATCCATCAATTGACACTTAGGCTGCTTCAGGTTTTGACTATTGTAAATAACACTGCAATGAACAGGGGTGTGCATATACCTTTTTGAGCTAACAATTCCTAACGAAATTTTATAAAATTCCAATATATGGCATGATCACTGCAAAAATACCCAATGCCTGGTACATAACTGGCACTCACAGAGTTGCAAATTAACTGAATTCAGTGTAATGATACAATTCAGGGTGAATCCTCCTTCTTCAAAAGCCCCTCACAAAGACCCAAAGAAAATTATCCCTGTATTGCTGAGGCATCTCTTAGAAATAGTACGAAAAATACTGCTATACATTTTAAGAGGTTACTGAAGAACAAGCAAATACCTAGTAGTGTTTAAAAACAACAACAACAAACAAACCACTGCTCTGTATCTTTCTTTAAAAAAAAAATCTAATAATATTCCAGAAATCAACTCCTATCAGTACCTATTTTATTTGTTGGAAGTATCATAATTTAACTACAGATCTTCCTCAACTTCTGATGGGGTTATATCCTGATAAACCCATTAAAATGAAAATACTCTTAAGTAAAAAATGCACTTAATACACCTAACCCACTGAACATCAATCATAGCTTAGCCTAGCCCACCTTAAATGTGCTCAGGACACATATATTACCCTACAACTGGGCTAAATCATTTAACACAAAGCCTATTTTATAATAGTGTTGGGTGTCTCCTGTAATTGATTGGATACTATACTGAAAGAGTAACATAATGGTTGCACAGGATTGCTTTAAGTGAACTGGTTGTTTACCCTTGCGATTGCATGGCTGACTGGAGCTGCAGGTCAATGCCCCTCCCTGCCCAGCATCATGAGTACTGTACCGCATAGTGCCAGCCCAGGAAAAGATCAAAATTCAAAATTTGACGTATGGATTCTACTGAATGCATACCACTTTTGCACCACTGTAAAATTGTATAATCATAAGTCAAACCATCATCAACTGGAGATCTGTAGTTCCTTTCTCATGGATAGTTGTTACTAATTTTTTGCTACTGTACACAATGTTGCCAGAAGTAACTAAAAAGAGAAAACTGACAGCATCTGGTGACTTCTTTAATTTCAGGACAGAGAAGGAATGGGGGTGACAATCAGATCTCAGAAACAAAACAGGTTCTGTGAGTTAAGATGATTTGGTTTTGGAAATGCTTTGTGAGGTGCCTGTGGATCAAATACCAAGTAGAAAGTTCTACAGATCTGGAACTCAGGAAACCAGTATGAGCTAGAGCTGTGACCATCAAGATGGCATTTGAAGCCATGCGTGAAAATAAATGAGGCTGACTACAAAGCACTAGTTTTCTATCCGTTTTGTTGAAAGAGGTGTACTTTCTACCAAAGATCCATCACTTTTCATCTTGCACCTTAGTCCCTTCTTACCTTCTCAAGGTCTCTGTTCTCTCCCCACTCCCAACAACCTCTCTCTTTCTACTAGATCATTCTTGACAGTATGTAAACATGTTCTACATCTTTCATTTTATGAACAATATTTTCCCTAAACTCAAATTTCCATTTCTCTGCTCCCCTGCATAATCAAATCTCTAAAAGCTGTCACCAATTCTATCTCCTATTCACACTTCTTCCAAATCCAGTCTGGCTTCTGCTTCTTCCTTATAACTGCTTTCATCAAGGTCATTTAAAACCTCCATGTTACCAAATCCAAGGGACATATATTTGTCATTTGACCAGACCCCTCATCAACATTTGGCAACTAAGTACTCTCTTCCTTGCTGAAACAGCCTCTCTAAAAATTTCCATTTCATCACACACTCCTGGTTTTCCTCCTGTCTCATCCATTCATTTAACAAATGGTCAGGGAATATCTGGCAGACACTTTTCTTGGTGCCTGGGACATGCTAGTGAACAAGACACCAAATCCCTGCCTTTGAGGAACTTCTATTCTGTGGAGATGGGGGGAGATGAGCAATAAATGCAAAAAATAAATATGCTAGAATGTTATAGGAAAGAGAGCAGAATAAGGAGAGTGATCAGTGTGTGTGTATGGAGGTGGGTTATAAAGTTGAATAGGGAGGTCACCATAGGTGTTGTTGAGATGGTAACATTTGATCAAAGACTTGAAAGACAGGGAGTTAGCCTAATTGCCAACAGTAGGGCCAGAGTGACTGGAGCTGAGTGAGAAAGCAGCAGCAAAGTAGGAGATGAGGTCAGAAGTAATGAGGGCCAGATATATAGGCTTGAGGACCACTCTAAGAATCTGGTGGCAACTGTCAGGGTAATAGGGCAGATTCTGGATACTCTGAAGGTAGAGCCAGCATAGTTTCTCATGGATTGGATGTGGGGTGAGAGTAGGGGTGAAAAGGTGAGAGTGAGAGATGGATGACATTTAATGGAGGACACTAAAGTTTTTCAACTGAGAGATAAAGGGGTGGAGCTGGCATCAACTTAGATGGGAAGGCTGAAGACAAAATAGGTTTGTGGCAGAAGAGGAAGAGTTCAAGTCTTGGGCAGTCCTATCTGCCTGAGGCCATCTTGCCTCCTCCACCCAATTTCTAAATGTCAGCATTCCTCCAGACTCAGTTCTCTATCCGTTTTTCCCTTCTTAGATGATCTCATCTACTCCTATAGC